TCGAAGACTTTGCCACGATCTCTGAGCCCCTCGTCAAGCTGACCAGAAAGGCCGAACCATTCGTGTGGGGAACCGCACAGCAAGAGGCGTTCGAAACCATCAAGAACTTGATGATGTCAGCCCCGATTCTACAGCCACCACACCCCAAGGGAGACTACGCGCTACACACGGACGCCAGTGACTCAGGACTTGGAGTCGTCCTAGTCCAGTCGGTTGGCGGTGAAGAGCGCGTGATTGAATTTGCGAGCTGCACCTTGTCGAAAGCAGAACGCAATTATTCGGTCTCGGAGTGTGAGTGCCTAGCAGTGCTGTACGGAATTGAAAAATTCCGACACTACATAGAGGGCTACAAGTTCAAAGTGGTAACGGACCACAGCTCTCTGCGCTGGCTAAAACGCATGAGAAACCCGATGAACCGTCTAGCGAGATGGGCTCTACGACTTCAAGGATACCAATTTGAAGTCGAGCACCGTAAAGGAGCCCTGCACGCGGTCCCCGACGCACTGTCACCCGCGTTCGAGGACGACGACGAAGATGGGCCCACGATAAGTGCTCTCACGTGGGCCAAAGAAACTAAAGACGAGTGGTACTTGTCCAAAATCGAAGAGGTGAAGAATGAGCCAGGTGCCCATCCGATTTGGAAAATCACGGGCGGTAACTTGTACACTTACCGCCCCGACCGAGCTTTCTCCGAACTGCTTGAGGACGATGAGGCGTGGAAGCTAGTAGTGCCCCAAGAGCAGAAGGGGAAAGTTTTGGCCGAGTGTCACGATGCGGTGACAGCAGGGCACTTGAGGCGAGACAAAACACTCGCCCGTGTACGCCGCCTTTACTTTTGGCCGGCGCTTAAGCGCGACGTAGAAGAATACGTGCGCGGCTGCCAAATTTGCCAACAGTGCAAAGTAGAGCAGCGACGCGCTTATGGGCTTATGGGGCGACACAAAGTTGAGCGCCCATGGCAGGTAGTGGCCGGCTACATTACCGGTTCGTTCCCGCGCAGCCCCCGGGGCCACGAATATCTCCTAGTCTTTGTCGATTTGTTCACGCGTTGGGTGGAGTGCGTACCAATCCGCCGAGCCAACGCCAAGACCATCGTTAAAGAGTTAAACGACAAAATCGTAATGAGATTCGGAGCGTCGGAACAATTCCTCTCGGACAACGGGACAGAGTTTAAAAACCAACTCGTCGAAGACTACTTGGCTAAGCAAGGCATAAAGTCCGGGCTAACCCCTGCGTATAGCCCTCATGCCAACCCGACAGAGAGATACAACCGAACTCTCAAGACAATGATCGTCACCTATCTGGAAGACCATCATAAAAATTGGGACGAAAAGCTCGTTGAATTGTCTTTCGCCCTGACCTTGGTGGTGGTCAGTCCGGCCCTTTTGAATTATGGTCGACAACCAGTTCCGCCCGGCACTCAGCGGCGCCAACAGGATTCCGCAAGCGCTGAGAACGAAGAAGAACAAGCTAGGGCGGAATGGGCCGAACACTTGGGGCTACTGAGTGACTGGTATGATGAGGCCGCAGCGCACACAAAGGATGAGCAAGAGCGCCAGGCGCCCCATTATAACAAAAAACACCGGCCGCATAAGTTCAAGGTCGGAGACTGGGTGTGGAAGAGGAATTGGATCCTCTCCTCGGCGGCCCAAGGCGTGGCGGCAAAACTGGCACCGAAATATGCCGGGCCGTACGTCGTCACGAAAGTTTGCGGCAATAACGCGTTCAAACTGGCTAACCACCAAGAAGAGTTAGACACCCTCGTCCACGTCAAAGACCTTCGCCAGTATTACGACTCGGTCGAGTTCAAGGACCAAACCCAGCTGGAAGATGGGGAAGACATGGCTCGACCGCCGAGGGAAACAAGGGCGAAAGTCGACCCGCCCGAAGCGTGCGACCAAGTGAGCGAGCGCGAGTCCGACGAACCGGGCGAGCCTTCGGTTCCGACACTCGCGCCGGCGCCAGCGAAGCGGGGACCAGGGCGGCCGCGCAAAGTCCAAGCGGCAAGCCCACAGCCCACTGTCGCGAGAAAGCCACGAGGCCGGCCTATAAAGACGGCACGCCTGGTACTTCGCATAGCGACGCGAGTTATGCCGAATCCGAGCCGAGCCGTCGAAGCGAACAAGCGAAAGCCTGGGAGACCACGAAAGGCTTAGCAGTCACCCCCGCGCCATTCGCAATCATTACCCCCATCAGCCATGATCATTCATTCACCTCATACCATCCATTGTCACCCCATTACCGATGGAAGACGCAGTCGTCGAAGTCGCCGCCTGGTTCTTCAACTACGCCCGACACGAGGACCTCGAGTGGCCGGAGAAAAGAACCCTCTTCGGCGCTCGCAAGACCTTCGAGCGGATGCGTGTCGAGGCCCTCGAGTTGGAGGGCGAAGAGAAGAGGGATGCGGAGTTCGCCTGCATCTTTGACCGGGTTGCGAACCAGATCCGGGACGGCATCACGCAAGATACCGTTCTCCGCCGGCTCGATGACGCCCGAGCTCGACTCATCCTGCGGATGCAACAGCTCCAGGAAGAGGGCGTCATCGCGCCGCCACGCCCAGGGCCGTATCCAGGGCTCACCCTGGAAGTGGTCCGTGAGGTCCCGGAAGGCTGGCCGACCCGCGGCGGGCACATAAGCCACCCCGCCCCGCCGCCGTAGACGTCGACACACGCGTGGCTGTACGGGCGATACGCGCCCAAGGGCGTACCCACCGGAAGACCCGCTTCAAGTCCGGATCGTCCCGCGCCCGAAACCCAGGACGCCTCCTCACAGACCACCGGCGAGAAGAGGAACGCGACCACCCAGACCCCCCGCTCAACAGTGCACCGCGGAGTCCAGGTCAGGCCGTTCCGCTGGGCGGTGTCAACCCAGGCGACACCGACCCGGCTAGACCAAACGACTCAGGCCTACCCTGACCAGCAGGAGGTGGCCTCGCAGACCTGGCCATCCACGGGCGCGCCAGGAGCCGCGATGGGCCGAGAAGAGGTCCTGAGCCGAAGAAGCGTGCCCTTCGAGTGCGGCCGCAGGATACGGGACGTGGGACGGGACGCATCGACCGGCCATACGAAAGCGTGGATTGGCCCACCTCCCCGTTGAGCGAGCGGGCGAGCCGATCGAGTGAGGAGGGCTGGCCAAGCATCGGGCGAGCGCTGACCGAACTCGGAAACGCTTGGAAGTTCGTCATGAGCTTCCAACGCCAAGTCCTGACCAAGTCGGCGCAGTTCTTAGAACTGCCCGGTGCGGTAGCCCTCCTTGGCCCGTGGCTGGAGAAACTCGAGCGGTGGCAGCGTTACGAGTTGGCGGTCCGGGCGATACAGCAGGGGCAGCCGCCGGTATTTACGGCGCCCCCTCCAGTATTGCCCTACCCGGAATTCCGCCGGGCGCCCAGCATCGAAGACCAGCGCCCCCAAGGGCCCAGGGCTGCTAGGCCCACAGCCCAGGCAATGCCCAACCAGGACGTTGAGGACGCGGCTACCCCCGAGTCAGCCCATCACGGCCGCGTGAACGTGGACGCCAACTCCTCGGGGGGAAACACGGTGACGATCAATATCAGTCAACGTCACGGGCGCTGGTCAAAACATCATCGCCAACAGAGCGCCCATTCCCTGGGGCGAAGAGAGCGGAGCCGCGTGAGGAGCGCGAGCCGGACTTCCAACCCCAACGTCATCGACCCGGAGGGTCGCCGAGAGGGCCAATCGCGCCGAGACGCCGAGGGATGCTACATCTGCGGACATTCCCGCGTCTCCAAGTCATCGCGCTGCCCGAACCTCGCCCGCCACGGCGAATTCCGTCGCGGCTGCAGCCATCGGTGTCGCTGACAGTTGCCCACTGGGGCAACTAAATAAAAGATTCATATTTCATGTCACCGTCACATTTATTGCACTCCACCCCTCTCACCTCTCCAGTCCTCACCCTCGCACAATCATTCCGCGCTATGATCGTCGGAGATTACCTCGGGTATCATCCGACTAGGAGGGGGCTATAGCGGCCGGGGCCGTTTTCGCGGAAAGTTGCCCGCACACGAGGCCGAGCACGGCCAAGCGGGCAAGCGAGCGCGAAGCGAAGCAGAGAGGGAGACAGAGCGAGACTCGATGAGGCTCGTGCCGCGGCGGTAGAGTGGGGAGAAGAGACGATTTTCGGGCACTGATACCGGGGAGCTCGAGCTAGCGTCACGTGCGCGCGCGAACGAAAGAAAAAGGATCGAGGAAAAAGGAAAGTGTGAATGCGCTAGAAAGTTTGCCGCCATCCCCGAGGACCACCAGAGCCCGTGGACCGTCATCTCCGGTGGGCGATTCGAGGAGCAGAGCTTGCCCGCCCGAACAAGGGCGATAGCGAGGGCGATTAGCGAGAAGGAGTAGTCTGTCTGCAGCAGCTACTTCCCGGTGAGTTTCCTTGTGTTCGTAAGCGATTACTTAGCGTGCGTTGGTTGCGCGAGCGAGCGTCTCTCTCTCTCTAAAATAGTACTCGAAGCGAAATGTTGGCACGCGGTATTGTGTAAAAAAGAGAATCTGATTAACTAAATAAAGCGCAGTTTGACCTGCTCAAGTGTTGCCATTGTGTTGGGCGTACCCAGGAAGGCTCCTCTGTCCCTTCCCACGCCCGTGGTTAAAATCCACGCACGCTCTCGTGCTTAGCCGCGCTTTCGCGATCCCTTTTCAGGGCAGCACGTGTCCGCCCGTGCGCGGCGGAACATCAGGAAGCGCCTAGCTGATCGGGGTCGCGGTAAGCCTCACACCGAGCAGCGAAGATAATTTTCTTAACAGGCCGCGAGGATAATTTAATTATTTTCCGGGCCGTTACAATACATATGCTGAAGTTTTTATGTACGATTTATTTTTTAAAAAAAATCGTCATTCAATCTATAAGTTTAAAAATTTTCATTTTATGTCTTTAATAATTGGTAATATTCGTTTACTTATAGTTCCTAATTTAAATCGAAATAAAAATCTTATTTTTTTTTATTGTGAATATCTTTGATATTAATTGGTTCATATATATAGGTCAGTCATTAATAGAAATGGGAGATGCTATGAAGCAGATGGCTGATGTTAAATACTCCTTAGATGATAGCATAAAGCAAAATTTTTTGGAACCGCTGCATCATTTGCAGACAAAAGATTTGAAAGAAGTAATGGTAAGTAACAGTTAATTTAAAATAATTGGAATAGAAAAGATCTATTTTGTCTTTTATTTTTAAATTTATAATTATAGTCCACATCAGAGAACGGAAAATTATTTTTTTTGCTTGATTACAATTTTTCGACACTCCGTGCGCAAAGTGCGTCTTTCCCGCACGCTCGGTAGAAAACGTGCGTTGAAAATCACACTTTCCACACGGCGTGCGGGAAGTTCGATTTCCCTCAAGCTTTTCTGTACAGGAAGTGTAGCATTCCCGCACGGTTATTCGGCGTGCGGGAAGAGCTACGAGAGCGTGCGGGAAGTAAAAATAGATAGGAATAAGCGTGTAAAAAGTAAAAGTAGGTAAAGGTACACGCAGATCTACTGCATGTGCTGACGCTTAATGGCCTATCATAAAAGTCGGGACGAGTATGGGTTTCTCCAATTTGAGCACTATTATTTTCCCAAAGAATCAAATTCAAACGAAGAAAGAAGACAAATTAATTAACCATTAGACGACAAGAACCATGAAACGTTAATTTTTAATAATTGTAATATTCTTACGATTCATTTTAATAATAAATAATTATTCATTTTGTAACTAATAATTTAAAAGTTTTTCATATTTTTTTACGAACGAGGGAGGGCACCAGCCGAAACTTCCTTTCCTTCTCTTCCTGCTCACATAAACCTACTACACTCGAACTTCCCGCATTTGTATGAAAAAATAGTGTACGTAACTTGCGACAACGCCCGTGCCACGATCACATACTTCACGCACGCATTACGTAATGTACTATTTCGTAGTGTATATAAAATTTATTGCAATCATGTAAACTATGTATATTACTCGGGTAAATATATATATATATATATATATATATATATATATATATAAGATGGTTCAAACCACCCGTACACTTCTCCTAAAATTTAAAATATTTCAAAAAATGATACAGATGAAAGTTCATCTCTGAGTGGCACATGTTATAGTGATCTTGCCTTTAACTTTGATGATAAGTTTTAAGATCATTTGAATGTTGTGACGGAGAAAGCAGTATGCTCTACTCTCTTTTCTCTTTTCTTTTCCTCTTTTCCTCTTTTCGACAAGGTACAATGGTCTAGTTAAGCGCATATTAGAAATGCGTTTAACACTTGGTCTTTTGTTTCAGTATCGATGATTGCCTAGAAGCGGCCGAAGAGACTCGTAGAGTTCTAGTAGTGGGAGCGAGAAAGAATGAGTGAAAGAGAGAGAGAGAGAGAGAGAGAGAGAGAGCGCATGCACTATGCAGGTTTAGACAGGTGCTTGACGTACGACCAATAAACGTTGCGTCACATACTGCCTGAAAATGTAGGTCAAGTGGGGATGAAGGAGAGCGCGAGCCAAGGACCGCGAGAAGATCGTTGCTGGCGTTCACTTTCTTCTCATCCGCCCTTGCAAGAGCATCTCAGTAGGCTATTGCGAGAAAGTAAGTGACCAAGAGCCATTCAACATTGTACGTCGAGCCCCCGCTGTAAGAGGTAGAAGACTGTGAGTACATTCCGACAGGAAGAGGTCAATAAGGACAGTGACCGCGAGCGATTGCCAAGTCTTTGCCCAGCTGCCCGCGCAATATAAGGAAGGCTGACCCTTTGTGCGAGGTATAGCTGATTGAAGAAGAGGTGCCACCCAACGCAGTTTCGTTCGGCCGCCTAATTCACCATGCCACCGCAAAAGAAGACAAGGTCAAGTTTTTTTTTTCTCTTTTCCATCTCTTTCGCCATGACAGAATTGTCATCACGGTAAGGCGGTTGCAATCACGACGCTCTCAGGAAGCTCGATTACGATCCGCTTAGCAAAAACATAGATGATGCACATAGTGCACCATATGGCCAACCACGAGGCTGGCCAGGTAACTTTGTGCAAAAATCTTTTTGTTAAAGTGGTGGATTATGATTGTCTTTCTCAACAGAGAATGGAGACTTCTCAAACAAACAATTTGTTGTTTTTGGGTGAGAATGTCATAAACTTCTATTTTCTGTACGGGCATATGCAAATGCAAATACTGATGTACAAAATGCGCCACCGATTGCCCTCGACAAGCAGTAAATGCAAGTCAACCCGAAGTGAATGCAATATGTATTTGAAAGAAGACTTGCAGTCACAAGTGCGGATGTGTGTATCTTCACATGGTGGGGCTGAAAACGCTGTCTCTCTAAAGAGAAAGTAGGCAAAACACACAACGCTTGCCCCTAGGGCAATAGACCGATCGAAATTCAAATCTTAAAATTCAATACCCGACCAATAGCTGTCGATCTTGACGGGAGAGTTGCAAAGTACTGCGTCAGGAAAGAGAAATCGATAACACTGCACGGCATCCGAATAGACTCGGAAGAACTTCGATCCGGCAGACTAAAAATCTCGAAAGCCACACAACTCATCAACGATGAAATCAAAAGAGTATGGCAATAGAGATGATAGTCAGCCACAAAAGGCAGGAGAACATATTGCTATTTCCCAGTAATCAAAGACTTGTATAATAAGTTAAGTTAATGCGTAGAATATAAGATTAAGATTTTTGACATGATGAGTCTAACTCTTTTATTTTATCTTTCTCTTACTCTAATCCTCTCTCGAATGCTTAGAGCAATATTACCTCATTTCCTAGCCCTAAATAATTGGTGACGAACCGTACTATCTCAATGTATAGAAGAAATGGATTACTCATTATGTAAGGTTATCAAGAGACTCAAAAAACCAATTAAATTCACTCCTTCAATTAGAAACCTCTGTGGTCAATGAGCCAGATGAAATAAAGAAAAGTTTGACGCATTATCAAATCACCTATACACAGTATTCAAGCTTTATCAAATAATTATCATAGAACAAGAACAAATTATCTAGTGTAATGATTAATATTTTTATAAATATATGCATACACATCTATGTATTAAATGAAATAAGTAATCGGATTCTACCTCTAGAAGTTCGATCATTCAAATGTGCACGGATGCACAGGTATTATCGTGGCCGTGAAGTTTTCAGTTCCCCGAGTTAGGCTTTAGAAGACTAATAAATTCCTCGAGAAGAACTCTTTTGGATACTGTGAATTACTCTAAGCCGGTAGTCTAAAATAAACAAAAGAGCAAGCGAGCGAGAACAGGTGGAAAAATCAAAGAGCGAGGTTAACTACGAGTGGAAAACAAGCCCCAATAAGTATTACTTTGCAGTCGCTAGGGCGAGTGGCTAGTACGAAGTATCTCAATAGCCACCTTTAGTTTAATTAAGCAGTGTGGATGCATCTTTTGTTTGTAAATTATTTCTATAATTTCCCTTTGTGTGAAAAAGCATTGTAAACGTTTGTTCTAGGCTCTCCCCGCTGATGACTGGAATTTTTATACCTTTGCATTAAAATGAAAAATTCGACAATAATAATAAAAAACTAATATCCAACAAACAAAGTGTATCAAAGTGCCTTAAATTATTTCTGCTTTAAATTATTCCCTGACAGAGGTCTTCATTATTTATTTTCGATCATAAGCACCGATTCTCCTCTTATAAGTCAGTAAATTTTACTCCATTTTAATTATATCCCTATTAGGGATGACTCCTAAGATCAAGATTACTAATATAATTATCAAACATCAGGAGTGAAAAAAATTAAGAATAATTTACTCCATTTTAGTCCAAATTGTTTATGTCACCTGAAAATATGCACCTTCCATGTGAACCTCTAGTCTAAGTAGTGGTGGGTAGGTAAATTACCATAGGTAAAATACATAGTTTTTGACACGTAATTTACTATGTATATTACCTCTCGAACTTTCTGAGTTTTTGACAACACGTTTTGACATCTTTTCGGCTATCGCCGTGGGATGGCGCGCCGACGCGGTGTGCCGGTACAACCGGTGCGGTACCGGTCTACGTCAGGTCTTTTAAAATCTGTTAGCAAAGCATGCACTCTTCCTGCAAATCCGTTATCCACGACACTTTTTGCTAACAAATTGCCGTTATGGCTATTACACGTTACATGCCAAATCCCAACAAATTGACCCATGAGAATCATCACAGCTGCACCGTCACTGATAACAGCGTATATATTAATATTATATTTTTCTCTTGCCATTCCAATACATTCGTCAACCACTTGACGCAAAGCTTCCCCAGTTTCACGATGAGTACTGAAATTCCAGATGTTCAAAAAAATGTACTTTCTTCGCTGCATGTTGTCTAAACGAACCATGGCAACAACATTTTGTTTATTGGCCGCCTTATTTTTCCATCCGTCTATTAACAAAACTACATTATTTACACCCATATTGGCTATTGATTGCTGTAACTCGTTGAATCGATTATTAAGATTACTGTTGGAGAGAGTCTTCTTAATTGGAATAATGTAATTTGGATTTAAGGCTTGAATGAAATTTCTAAACAATGGTGATTCGACTATTACGAAAGGTATGTTGCATCCAAAAAAAAATAGCCCAAGCAATCTGTCTAATTCATTACGATCAATATTAGCTAAAAAAAATTATTATCATTATAAATTTGAATTCAAAACATTTTAATAAAGACTATTTTAGATCATCTACATTATTATTGAAAAATATCGTATATATACCTGCCATTTTAATAAATAATCCAAGCAAGAAAACTAAGAAAAATCACTAATTCCTGAACAGTTAATAATATATGATTTTTCTGAAATATGATTCGCTTCTTCACTTTGGTATAAGATTTGAGGTGAATAACCGAAATTTTCAAATGAAGAATGATAAATTACCTGGTACTAGTACTATTATTACTGTTTAGTGTTTATTGTGAAAATTAATTTTACAAAAACTGTGATAATTGTTACATTTAGGTTGTTAGTTTACTGTTGGAGATAAATAAATAACACCAGGCTTTCTTAGCGTCAAAGGATCAAAGGTCGAATTAAAAATATTCAAATTAGAATTTCAATAGCAAAGTACGTTGGTGTAACAATGCTGCGCATGCGCAATAGTATTTGGAAGTTTTTGACGTTTTTGATAATC